ACACCGCATCAGTTGAGCTCAAGGGACCGTAATTGCCTGTACTGTAGTTTTCATTCCTTACCGGCCCTTCAGCCTTTAGGTTTGTTGTTCCTTATTTATTTGTATATTCACTTATTAATCTGTTCTTTAGACGGCCAACAAGTTGATGCGCTTTTCTTGCTTATCACCGCAACAAACCTGTGAGGCCGATCAGCCTGAGTGGGACTGGCTCAAGGCCACTCGGTCAGATTTCTAGCCAGTTGGGGGTTTCAGGACAGGCCTCCTAAATAGTATGGGGTTTTTTTGCATTGTATTAGTGTTGATCTGCTTCAGCCCGCAAGCCCAGCCTCTTCCGCACGCAACTTGGCTCGCTGGCTTGAATCAGTTGCTTTGGGGTAGGGCTGCTCTCGCCTTACGGCCTGCAGTAACCTGAGCTATGGAAGCTGGTGGGGTATGTGTGTCAGGTTTTCAGGGTGGGGGGCTTGCCTTTCAAGGAGGAGCTTGATCTTAATACCCCTTGTCCTGCCCTGCCCTACCCACCCCACACTTCCAGCTCAGGAAAGATGCCGGCGAATGACGTTTGAAGCCGGCATTTTAGTGCAACCCCAGATGGCACCTGCCCAATCCTTAAGGATGCTGGAGGTGAAATGTGTGGATTGTAAAACTGGATGTTACCAGCTGGGGACAGCTTTGTCCCTAGGAAGCCTAGCCTAGCTAGTTACGCAAGGCCAGCTGGCTGGCCGTCCCTGGCGATGCCTCTCTCTCCCTGCCTCCCTTTATCAAGCGCTATTGATGGCAATGGCCTTTAGTTGCATAGGCTGCCCGTTGGATAGTCGGTCGGCCCTCTGTGCGTCTCTGTCCACCCTGATCATAACCAGGGGATTGACAGGCTCCTGATTTACAGATGGGGGAAAGCCCTGCCAGGCCCAAGCGGACGTTAAGCCCCCCGCCTCTGGCCACCCCCCACCCCACCCTCCAGTTTAATCCTACCTGATGCTTCGTCTTTCTGATCTGATTGCTGTTAACTGTAGCTTTTGGCCGGGTCGTTCCTTAATCGGATCCTGGGCGGGAGGCTACGGTTTCCAAGCAGGTTGGGATTAAGCGCTCTGATCGCCTGATCCAGTTAGAGGACCCGTCTGCCTGATGTGTGATTAACGGTAGCTACCTCCCTGCTCCGCTGGAGGAGATCCCGGGTTGATAGCGGTGATGAGGAGAGACAGAGGGGATGTGGACCAAGACAGCAGGCAGTCGAAGCTGCAAGATTGCACCGTGAGATGCGGGGTTTGAAGTTTGAACGGGTCGTCTCCTGCTCGGGTTAGAAATGGTGGTTTTTCTGGGTCTCGCATCATAAACACACCTGATGGTTGGTGCCTTGTGGAAGGAGAAGGAGCAGAGTCTTGGGGTACTTTAAAAATGAGGACTCTTTATTGAACCCTAACTTTTAGGGAATCAGAATCCAGTGCCATGGAGTATGAATGGCGGCTGTCATGTCTCTCTCCCCATTGACGTACGAACATAATAGGGTCTGTGGCTCTGATGCCTAGCCTCTGGCATTAACCTTTGAAGCCCCTACCCACCTTGGAAGATCTGAGAAGATCTTTTGTCCTACCCTAGGAATGGGCAGCATTTGGAGTTTCATGGGCTGTTCCCATCTACGCCTGAACCTTGGAACCTATAAAGCCCTAAACAGCTTGGGTCCAAGCGATCTCAAGGACGGCAACTCCTTTTAGGAACCTCCTGTTAGGATCATCACTTGGTCCCACCACCTTCACAGGTGTGTTTGGTGGGGATACAGGATAAGGCCTTCTCTGTTTCTGCTCCTAGACTCTGGAACTCCCTCCCACTGGAGGGCAGCCTGGCCCTATCTTTGCTGTCCTTCCGAAAAAAAGCAAAGACCTTTCTCTTCAGGCAAGTTTCTGTTAGTAACTGTCCACCTGAGTAGGGGTTTTCAATGGATGGTTGTACCTTACTGCTTTGAGTATGGGTTTGTGTGTGTGTGTGTGTGTGTGTGTGTGTGTGTGTGTTTTGTTTTGTTTTGTTTTGTTTACTGTTTTTCCTTTAAAATATGTTTAAAAAGACCCAAGGCAGCTTTTAAAGACTGTTTTTATTTATTTATTTAAAATATTTCTCTCCCACCTTTCTCCTTTAAAAAGACCCAAGGCAGCTTTTAAAGTCTGTCTTTTAACGACTTAAGCTGCCTTGGGTCCAAACTGAGAAGAAAGGCAGGGTAAAAATGTATTAAATAAAATAAATAATAAATCAATTGGAAAGCTACTCCTGCACACTTAGTTTTTATTCCTTTT